AGAGGTAACTCGTTGTCACTATCACTGCTGCTGAAAAGCACCACTCACCACCTCTCTGTGCTCACATTCACTTTAGTTTATTCTCCAGAATATTTATTTAGCTTATTAACTTATTTAGTTTAGTCTCCAGAAATGTCCAGCAAGTGTTGATGACTGTGAGTGGTTGCCATTTTCTTCTGCATGGAGGGATGAATCCCTTTCGCTGAAGCAACATCCCTTTGCTTCACATGTACTTTCACGTCAGACATCGTTCTGTCAGAGTGCCCTCTGCTGTCATCTGTCACACAGCAACAAACTAATGGAATATTGATGGGAAGCTTCAGCCTTTACTGCCATACCATCAACATCTGCCTCTGGCCTTGTGGGCCAACATCATACAACAGGAGGCATTACTTTTGGAGCAGCCCTTGCACGTACCCACATGGCCACTAACACAAGGCAAGCCGTGCACAGCGAGCCCATCTGCTCCCAGCACAGCACCAGCACTGGGTGTGCTCTGCACAAACAACGCATGCAGCACCGAGGAGGCTCCTCTGTGCACCACTGAAGTCAGGGAAACCCTATGGGTCTCCAAGCAGTATTGAGGGCCTCTCCCAGCACAGCACACAGCACACACAGCCTGAGCTGTGCCATAGGTGAGGAAATCTGATGCTAACAGTTGCCTCAGGTGTTGTGCCATGCGATGCTAACAGTTGCCTCAGGTGTTGTGTGACATGCGGCTCTGATGGATGTGGCAGTGCTGGCTGCTCTCATCAGTGCCAATACGTTTTTGTATAGGATTCCCTATCTGGTAGCTTTACACCTACGTTAGGAACTTTATTGTTGATGCAAAAGAGGCAGCGAAGGAGATGCTACAAATTACAGGCACGTGTTGGAGAAAGCTTTCGAGGTCGCAGGACTGCAGCTCAGCCTAAGGGGACAAAGCCCTGGGCTGACACGGGCTGCAGGAGGTGGACGGCGCCTGCCAGCAGCAGGGCCAGCAAGAGCGTGTGCCCCAGGGGCAGCTCCGTCTGCACCCGGCACGGGGACGGGAAAGGGGAAGTCACGTCCACCCGCGTGCCACGTCCATCCCCGTGCCACCTCGTTCCAACCCGGGGCGGGCCCAGGGCTGCATCCCGCCTGCAGCCCCCGCGCCGCGTCTCCCGGGGCAGTGTCCTGGAGCCGTGTCCCGGGGCGGAGCGGCCGTGTCCCGCGGCCCGGGCCATAACCAGCGTCCCCGGGTAACAAGCGGCCCCGCAGGTGCCCGCAGCTGGCGGTTAACACAGACAGTAAGAGGATCAACTCCGTCCTCGCTCGTGGAGAAAAGGAGAGAGGGGAAGCCCCCCTTCTCCCCCCCCAGCCCCCCATTTGGCATTCAGAGTTTGGTTAATTTGGATGATAACGGTGTGCGTTTAATCCCATTGTACGGCACTGAATGTAGCGCAACGCACCCGGGCGGGCCGCCGGCAGCGCGACGCGCGGGGCTCCCCCCGAGCCGCCCCCGGAGCCGTCCCCGAAGGCGCGACTCCGCTGCCCCCCGAAACCCTCGAAAGCCCCGAACCGGGTCCGGGTTCCAGCAGCGGAGCAAGCCGCGAGCGCCCCTCCCGCTGCCGCACGGCACCAGACCGGTGGCTGCGAGGGTGCGGCGCGGGGCGCACGGCCGGTGGGGCCGGGGGGGAGGGGGACGGCGGGGCGTGGGGAGGCGGCGGCGGCGGCGCGGGGCCCGGCGGCGGGGCGGGGTGCGGGGGAGCCCCGCGGTCGGGTCGGGCTGGGCCGGGCCGGGCCGGGCCGGGCCGAGCAGAGGAGGTGGAAGCCGTGTGCGCTCGGCAGCGCGGGGCGCGGGCAGGCGGCGGAGAGGGGAGCCGAGAAGGCTGTGAAAATATGTTTGCGGAAAATAGACAATTGTTGGATTAAACGTATTCAAGTATGAAATAATGCCTTTTTGTGTACAACCCCTCGGCAATGTGAGCGTACAAAAGTGCCCTGTGGCCGTTCCGTGCTCCCTTTGTGAGCTGTGCGCGCCGCGTCTCCACTTGGCGCGGTCCGCGCGGAGCCCCCCTTTAAACGCGATTGTTTCTTTCTTTCTAATGACATTTACCGGATCAAAACACGCTGTTAATTCGATCAGAAAGCTTTACTCCGGCGGACAATGCCACAATAATTTCTCCCGAAGTTTGTTAAATTGACCAAAATTAGGCAAATGAATGGCGGGTCTGTCGGCGACCCCGCTCGCAGGTGACGGCGCACAATGCGCTCCGGGCCAGCTGCGGGCCCCGCTTTATTTGCCCCTCTTTTCTTCGCCCCGCATTATTAAAATTTCGGCCCGATGCGACCATTCACGCTCCTCAATGGCACATTTTCCTATAGGATAATAGGCTACAAATTGGGCCTCTCCAGCGCGGGGCGGGGGGGCCCGGCCCGCGGCCGCGCCGACACAAAAAGCGGCGTCGTGTGCCAAAGGCCGCCCGCAGCCGCCCGCGGCCCCGGGGGGGGGGAGCGAGGCGGGGGGGCGTGTGCCAGCCGAGGGCCCACACCTGCCGGGTGCCCCAGCAGCACGGAGCGCCGGCACAAAGCCGCGCTGCCAGCGCTCATAAAGCCGCCCGTGTCACCGCGGCGCGTGAGAAAAGCCGGCGAACAAACGGGGCCACTCCGGCTCCGGGGACTCTCCCCGCCGTAGGGCGGAACAGCCTATTAAGGGCTTACTTAATTACTGTAATGACTCTGGACAGGCTTCACGAGGCGGTCAGCGCGGCCCGGCGGGGCGGTGCGGTGCCGCGGGGAGGTGGTGCCGCGCCCCGCACGCCGCGCCCGACCCAGCCCGGCCCTGCCCCGCTCGTGGGCGTCACGTGCGGGCCGGGGCGAGGAGGGGGGTGTGGGGGGAGCGGGCGGGCGGCCCCCCCGGCCCTTCTTTCCCTCGCACTCGCCCCTTCCTTCCCGCTCGCCCCTGATCTTTAATGCATACATTCCCCGGCGCGGCGCGGCTCGCCCTAATCCTCTGGGCTCAGGGGCCCGTGGGGGCCCCGTCCCCCCCAGGCGCGGCGGCTTTATAAGCGGCCCCGCGGCGCGGCCCCGCACTGCCGCCATGGCCTCGGGCCTCAAGGAGCGCAGGGTGAGCGCCGGGCCGCCCGCACCGCGCGCCCCGAGGGTACCCGCCGCGGCCCGTGACGCGCCGCCTGTTTTGCAGAGGACGCCCGTGTCCCACAAAGTGATCGAGAAGCGGCGGCGGGACCGCATCAACCGGTGCCTGGCGGAGCTGGGCCGCACCGTGCCGCTGGCGCTGGCCAAGCAGGTGGGTGCGGGCGGCGGGGCTGGGCGGGGGAAGACGGGACGGGACGGACGGAGCGCGGAGCGGGGCAGGGCTGACGGCGCGGCTCGTTGCAGGGCTCGGGCAAGCTGGAGAAGGCGGAGATCCTGGAGATGACGGTGCAGTACCTGCGGGCGCTGCACTCAGCCGACTTCCCCCGCGGCAGGGAGAAGGGTAGGTGTGGGCGCGGGGGGCGCGGCGGGGCGGCCCGGCCCCGTTCCTCGTTCCCTGCTCCCCGCTGAGCGGAGCCGCGCCCCGCCGCGCCCCGTCCCGCAGAGCTGCTCTCCGAGTTCGCCAACTACTTCCACTACGGCTACCACGAGTGCATGAAGAACCTGGTGCACTACCTGACCACGGTGGAGCGGATGGAGACCAAGGATACCAAGTACGCCCGCATCCTCGCCTTCCTGCAGTCCAAGGCGCGCTTCGCCGCCGAGCCGCTCCTCGCCGCGCAGCCGGAGCCCGACGCCGCCTTCCCGCCGCCCCCTGAGCGCCCGCCCGGCCCCCCCGAGCCCTTCCCGTGGCCGTACGGCCCCCTGCCCGCCCCTGCGGCCCTGGGCGGCCCCGGGCAGCAGCGCGCCGCCTTCCTCCCGTCCGCGCAGGGCCTGGAGCGCCGTTACCTCGGCTTGCTGGGCCCGCCGCCCCCCGGCGCCTTCGGGCTGCCGCCCGGCCAACACCCTCCCGCCGTGCTATAGGGCCGCGGCGCCGCGGACTCCGCCTGGATGGCGCCGGAAGAAAGCTACGGGCGCGGCCCCGCGTGTCTCGTGGGAAGCTTTCTCGGCTTACCCCGGCACGGAGCAACGGGGCGCGGCGCCTCGCCCCGCACTGGGCACGCACCGCCCGCGCCGCGGCCCGGTACGGGGCCCGAGGCGGTGGGGGGGGCACGGCGCTCTGTCCGGAGCGGGGCGGGCCGGCACAGAGCCGAGCACCCGCGTGCCCCCCCCGCGTCCCGGTGCGGGGCTGCGAGCCGGGCGCGCCGCGGGATGACCGCCGTCCGTGAACCGTCCTCCGCGCTTCTGCGCGCAGGCAAACGGGCTGACGGACAGACGGACAGTTCGCCGCCGCAACGCGCCGTGCGCAGCGCGTGCCTCCCGTCCGAAGTGCCGCCGCAAAGGAAGGGCCGTGCGGGAACAGCTCCGGCCCGCAGCCCCGGGCGCCCTCGCCGTGCTAACGGGACCCCACGAGAGTTGTGCTCCGAGCGTTGAGCGGGAGTATGACCCCCTTCTTCCCCTTTGGCATTGTAGCATTAAAGATACAGTGTTTCCCTGGACGTATAAATTATTAATAGATTCATTTCGGGCACTGTTAACCAAATCAGACAGAACTTCCCCGGCTAAGTAGATTTTCTCTCTAGGATTAGCAGAGGGCCACTACGGACAAAACTGCCGTCATTTACATACAATTTTGCCAACTAGCACTGGCCCGTGACAGTCTTTGTATCTCGAATGTTGCTATCCGGGATGTTTTTTTTTGTCCTCTCCGTTTTCATTTGGCCGCGGAGGATAAACCCCTCCGGCTGCACAATGACCCGGCGATAAGCCTCCCGCAGCCCCGCACACGCGCCCCTCGGCCCCACACCGCCGCTGGGCTCACCTCTGCCCGCAGCCCCGGGTGCTCTGCACCTCACGCTGACGCAGCTGTCACTCACCTGGGCAGTAGGTGAGGTTACACTCATCTCCGCAACGTTGCGTTACTGAAAACGTCTCCAACTCACCGATTTATCAGAAGGATTTATTTGAGCTATTTGGGAATAAACCATCACCAGTTAGGTCACAGAGACACACAAGCAGCTTGCATCCATCCACTCTACATTCAGAGTTTACATTCTGAACAGGCCCAGAACCAGCAAGAATGTTCCCATGCCATGCTTATTTCACAGTGAAGAGCAGGTTTGTGAGCTGAGCGTGCCCACAGCACAGAGCAGAGTGCTTCCCACTTCCCCTGACTTTGCAGCACACCTCATGCACAACCACGGCTTCAGCACCACACTGTGTGCTTCCCACCCTCAGACACAGAGCCCGTGCAACAGGGTACAGCCCCTAAATTGAAGCAAGCAGAGTAATTTCAGGATAACTTGTCAGCTGAAGGCAAGGTTCCTTTTATTTGACTTTGGTAGCACTATGACCCCTCGTCCCACAGCAGCACAGCTCCGGTCGGTCTGTGACTCCTGGTGTCTCTGCTCCATGGGATGCCACCACACTCCTGCTCCCCTAAAGCACAGAGGATGCCTACCTGTGTCACCTTCTGCAGGGAACTGCTTTAGCAAGGAGGTTGGACCTGACGATCGCTTGCGGTCCCTTCCAAACCCTGCCATTCTGTGGCTCTGTGATTCCACTAGGATCACACTGCTCACACCAGGAGAGCACAGGGTCTGTGGCAACTGGGTGCAAAGCCCTCCCTACCCACAGCAGCTTCTTTCCCTGCTGCTTCATTTGGAGACAGCTCATTAGTGCTGGAGCAGCTGTGCACTTACCAGCAACTCCTCTGCAGAGACGGTCTGTGGGAAGGAGCCCTCCGAAGCTGACAGGTGTGTGTCTGCTGAAGAGGAGCTGCAAGAAGTGGAGCTCACAGATGAGCCTGCTGCATCCATCCCCTCTGACATCATCACATTTATTTCTAGCAAAAAGAACTGCATTTTAATACACACACAGGTTAAAGCTCTGGTATCTACCCATATGCCACACAGTGGCACATTAAACCAAAACTCACAAAAAAGGTGAGAGACAGCAACATCACATACATCAAACGTGAGGAAAGAGGAGTAACTTAGGAGATTCCAACTCAGAATACCAAATCCAGTTGAATGTATTTTTAACATTCATCTTTACACTACAGCAATGGAAACGTGCAGTATATCTCAGCAACAGTAATGCAGTTAACTGGGATGAAATAAATACTCTCTCTAGAAAAAATTTCAAGTTTCAGAGATAAGCCATAAAAGTTAAAAGGCAATTTGATTTTTAATAACTAATACATACTTAAAAGTGCAGTCCTCTTCTAGGAAATGAGTAATGTAATAATAATAATAATAAAAGCCTTCCTTACTGAGGGCATCCTGCAAGGGAACGGGGAATGCATGATGGGATCCACAACTTAGCCATTACATGTTTGGTGAACATTGTGGAGCCTGAGGGCTGCACCCAGAGCCTGTGAGAGGAGTTACAGCCACTCACAATGCAGTCCTGTGTTTGGAGACTCTCGGTCCACTGGCTCTGAGCTCAGCTGTGAGCCTCGACGCACACCCACATTGTCAGCCCTTGAAGGGTGCAGGCATTTAGAGGAGGATGCAGCTCAACCCAAGCCCTCCCAGCCAAGCTTATGGCAGGAAGTGCCTTCAGTGGCTCAGCAGCCTGTGGCTCCTTATCCCTAACCCTAGGCTTAGGCATTCTTCTAGGAAGCTGAAGTCTCAGGCTTGAAGTCTTTGAGGCTAAAACCTGGGTCTTCTTTGAGAGACCATGTTCATAATCACTCTGTCCCTCTGAAGCCACTTCTGTTGAATTCAAACAAAACAGCGTACCCTGGTTAGCCCTCTGAGAGGCATAAGGTGATTAAGACATCAAATAGCAGACTTCCAATTTTGAATTGTGAGCATGAAGTTGAGCTCCAGACAGTGACAGTGTCGGGGTACTTTCTCCATCCAGGGAAGAGGGAGGGAGGACTGCTGCCCTCACACCAGCATACTTCTCTCCTGGACATGTGTGTGCTTGGGGTACCGCACAAATGAACAGCAGTACCACAGAATCCCAGAATCATCTGAGTTTAATGAACCTTTGAAGGCCATCCGGTCCAGCTGCCCTGCACTGAACAGGGACACCTACAGCTCCATCAGGAGCTCAGAGCCCCTCCAGCCTGACCTTGGCTGTCTCCAGGGATGGGGCATTCACCACCTCTCTGGGCAACCTGTGACAGTGCTTCACCACCCTTAGTGTAAAACACTTCCTCCTTAAGTCCAATCTAAATCTCCTGTCTTTTAGCGTGAAACCATTTCCCCGTGTCCTGTCACAGCAGACCCTGCTAAAGAGTCTGCCCCCCTCCTTACAGCCCCTTAGATACTGAAAGGAGGCCCTACATACACATCAAGCCTATATAGGACCTGTGCCACCATTTGGTTGGATTCAGTTTTGTTTTTCTCAGCATTTCCTAGTAGAGTGTGCTGATTCTTTGCTTAAATGTGGGTTTGCTGGAGCCTCATAACTTCCCACGTATGCTGCATTAGTGCCATTCCAGAGGATGAATTCACAGAAATCAGCCTGCAAGGGTCAGTATTTTATGGCTAAGATACAGGATGGATCTCTTTGTTAATTTTTTTCCCCCAAACTAAAATGTCCACCTGTACAACCTTACTGACTTACAACAGTGACATCATGATAGCTGCACGTGAATGTCAGTGTGCAGAATTTTGCTGTCAAAGGATATAGGACAGGAACAATTCACCTTTACTTCCAAATCCACTGCTGGGTTTTCAGGACCGAGATCTGTAGAAAGAACAATGGTAAAACCTACAGAACTAACCTCACATGTCTTCACTTTCAAAAAGAGGAAATCTATCAGGGATCAATGAGATTCATCAAGCACAGATTACACATTTTCACAAGCCTTTGGAGAACCTGAAACAACATACATTATATACAACACAAATGTATATTGGAAAGTTCTAAGGAAATCACCAGTCCTGCATGTTCCACTATAGAACCTCTTTTGATAGAAGGATGTAATAATAATTTCCTTACATGACACACTTTATTCATACATTACCTTCTTGTTTCTTTAAAAGAAGAAAGAGATTAAAAAACAAAACAAAAAACCTCCACCTTTTATTGGAGCTTTGTTATTCTCTTTGATGCCTGGAGAAGGACGGGGAAGTATTTGGAAAAAGAACAAGACCAGAAGTATATTTTTTGTTGTGGAAAGCCAAATAAAACCTGTTAGATGGCTAAGATGCATGAAAACCAATTAAATGTTGCTTAAGGGTACCAGTGCTTAAGTTGGTTACAAATTATTGTCTGCAGAAAAGTCATTATATTAAAGCAAATGAACAAAAAACAAGCTGTTTACCTACTTGTGTATATTCTGGACCAAATCCTTAGCTCCTGCAAGTAGACAAAGCTCTCTGGAGACCCCTGAAGCTAGGGCTGTTTACGTGAGGAGGAGGCATGACGGAGCTGCCTCAGCAGAGACCTCACCCAACAGGTAAGTGACCCATATTTCAGTGGCTCTCGGTGCTCAATTTACTAATTGAGCCACACAGCCCTGTGTCTGCAAACATGTATGGAAAATAAAAACCTACCTTGGTCTTAAACACTCAGTTACTCTGACGGTGAAAGTGAAGTCACACGTGCAGAAGAACTGCAGAGCAGGCCCTACTGCCTGCTATACCGAAGGCATGAACTGTTCCCCCAAGAAGAAAAGATGACACAACTAGACAAAATAATCTACTCTGCTACATGCATGTGCAGGACTCAAGCTAACTCTGTGAGGCCAAAGGAACACTCTTCTGTTGTGAGGAGGCTCCCAGCATCAAAGCAGCTTGAATATTTCACTTTCTCAAAGCAATCTGCTGCTCCACAGAGCAACTTAGCCTCTCCTTCTCAGAGAGCTCGTTTTCTTAGTCACATGACACATGTTACATACAGTCATAACTGCCTTATTTTCAGCTGTGCTTTAAGCTCTCAGACAGAGCTTCTACCACCTCTTCACAACACGACATACAATACTGAATATGATCCACAATCAAAAGACAGGGGACATAAATAAGAGAAATAAATGTGATGTAGCTAGAAAGATAGGCAACTGGGAGAATATAAAGGCTGTCATTCTTCTCAAAGGAATATTCTAATTTGTAGCAGTTTTAAAAATTATTTTTTTGCTTTTTGTTTGTCATAATTTTTTTTTTTTTCCCCAAAATGGATTTGGAATTAACTTGCCTTTTCAGATTGAGATGAATTTTGAGGGCATGTGGTCAATTTCATCCTCTTCTAGCAGAAAGCTGTGAAGATTTGGATGGATTGAAGTTCAGCTGCCAATACGTGGCTTCTTAAAGGCTCTTCAGAGAGTCTTCCAGTCACCATAACTGCAAACAGAAAAAGAAAAAAAACAAGATAAATTATTTTGGGAAAATGACAATTATGTTCTAGAGCACAAAACCCCATTTAGCATCTCATTAGAATTGCCTTATTGTAAGGTAAGGATATAGCATGCCTGTAGGTCCACCAATACACAGATAGGATGCTGGTGAGTTTAATTCTTTACCCAGATTAAAAACAAAACAACCAAGGATGGGATGAGACCAATGGGATTTTTTCATTCAGGTTCTTTGAAAGCTTACTTTGTCATAAGGCAAAGTCATACTGTAAAGGAAAAACCTTTCAGTGGTTTGCTAATAGAAGGATGAACTATAACTCGTGAGCAGCTGACTTTAATCAAGCATTAAATGTCTCAAAAGTAGAGGTGCAAGAGTGAATTAATCACTTTGAGCTCTTTTTCTAATCAAGAGGGAAAAACGGGCCTTTCTAGTGGGTGACTGATCAGACTGATTTCAGACTTTCCCTTAAAATGAGCTGCTTTGCTTTGGAACATGTCTCTTTCCTTCTGTTGAATCAAGAGGGAATGCAGGATCAATAGATCAGATTCACATATATAGGCAGGGGAAAAATCAGGGCAGCAGAATCCCACCCTCACTGCTGCCTGCCACATAATCTTACTTATCTGCACAGGTATTTCAGAGCTATAATTCTCCATGTTTCATCATGAGAAGTTCAGTTCACTCTTCAGCAACTTTGCAGCAACTTTGCCAACTAAAATCTTTTTGTATCTCACCTGCAAGACTTGTTGTTCACTAAAAAAAAAAAAAATCTCTTCTTGTGCATCTGCTATGCAGACTGAAGGTGTAGCACGTGAATCTGATGAACCGAAACAGCTGACGAATGTTTAAGGGTACCCCAGAGGCTGCTTACCCTGTGACAGATGTTTCTATTGTACTTGTTGCATGTATTGCTAGAAGAGGTGTTCTTATACATGGTCAAAAAGAAGCAAAAGGCTTCAGAACTCCATGTATGAACAACCTGCACACAAAATCAGTAAATCCTGAATTTAAAGTACGTACATAGTACAGGAGAAATTTGCCATTGGTTTCAGTGGAAGCCAATCCTCTTCTCTCTGTGTGGGACATTGAGCAGAGCTCCAGGCACAGCATCATCCAGAATGTTTTAGCTTATTTTTAGCAGGATTTCTTCAACAGAATGTACACAGCGTTCTGAATGAGACACTAGAAGTTAATTTCATCCAAAGCTTCAAGCTTCTTTTTAACTAATGTGTCAAGTTTATTCAGAAAGCTCGAATATCCCTAAATGGTTTGGGTGGAAGGGACACTGATGCAAAACGGTATAAACAAGACTGCCTGGTATCATGCTGACACAATTTCTTCTTGTCACATAGCTTCCACACTATTTTACCCTAAGTTCAAGCTGACAGCTGGTCAGAATTTATGCCAATAGAAAGAGTAATGGAGTTGGTAGTATGGAACCTGCAAGGACTTGCATACAGATCCAGCCTTATGCATTTGGCTGGCTTGATTTTATGGAGGGCTGATCTCCCTCAGGTTTCAGAGGAACTGGTAAAAAAGAGTGGAAGTAAATTGTCAGTATCATGGGGATTTCAGAGGAACTGGCAAAAAAAATAGTGGTTGCAACAGTATGCTATTCCAAACTAAGAAAGAGAATTTCTCTTGGCCTTGAAAACAGCCAGTAGCAAGACTAGTGGCTATTAAATTGTCGTTCCACATGCTTGGAACTGAGACCTTAGCTACAGTCCTGAGTTTTCCAAAACAGGTTTTAACCCAGGGGACTGGAAGAGCAGCTGCTTGTCAGGACAGGACAAGGAGAAATAGCGTTGCAGGAGCAAGACACAAAGTATTTGTCCACAAAAATTCCACTGGCACTGCTCTCTTTACGCCCTGTTCATCTTCCTTCTGCTCCTGAGTATTTCTTCCCTTTAGGCTCAGATCTCAGGCAAAGTAGAGATCCTTCATCAGAGACCAGGCAGCCCCTTTCTGAAAAGGAAAACACTTATCAGTTTGATATGACTTCTCCTTGCAATTACATTTTCTTTTGTGGACAACTGTACCAATTATACCCTCAGTAAACATCATAGGTAAGCAAGAGCTACAAGCATCACTGTAATACCTTCCAGTTTACTTTTGGGATGCTTTTCTTCTTAAAAGGCAGGCACAGGTATGGCAGTGCTGCGTGCCGGGCAGAAGTACTCAACAGAACAGCAGAACAGAGTGTGTAAAACAGCTGCTGAAAGGATGGAGCATCTCCAGGTGGTTCAACCAATCTCTGTCCAGGGCACCACCACAGTCTGGCAGGGTTAAAAGGGAGGCTGGCCAAATCCATCCGAGACCTGGAAATCTTGAAACACGTAAAGCCAACACGCATCAGATGAAGAAGGCAGAAAGAAAGGTGCCCCCTAATGAGTTTTTTTTGCGCTTGGGTGAGCGAAAGGGCTGCTTCAGGAGGCTAATAACTGAAAACCTTCCCGGCTTTTGTCCGGAGAAATGGCAGGCACTTTCCATCCCTTTGAAAAAAAAGAAGGCCTTTCGGAGTCTTCACGAGAGATGTGGATTTTAAGGGCGACCTTAGGTCATACAGAACTAATCAAGCGAAAACAATAAGAAAATTAGACTGACAGTCAGCAAGTATCTGAGGACTTTATCAAAAAGAATTAGGAATGGACAAATTCACTGGGAGCAAAGGATCAGATCTGCAAGGTGGCATTGTATGGTGGGATTAAATTATTTATTCATTGTTAATTTATTTATTTATGTATGTGCAAATGACCTAGCTGCTGCAGGTGCTGAGGAGTTTCTGAAAAGGCCCAGTTTTAGAGCCAAGGCTAAAATATTGGTCCATTTAACTCATTCTTTCCCTTAAGGCGATCAAACAGTGACTTTTATCTAGGAGATAGAGGAGGAAAACCATATGTGTACTGGGAATGATGCGGGGTCTGAGCAGCACTAAGTACCCAAGTATTCCAGCCTCATTCAAGAATGCTGTGCAGTTTAATGTCCAGCAAATTAGCAAATGAATGCTTATGTCAATATGTGAAAAATCCCTAGTTGGTTTAAACAGATAAAAAGCCTCTTGGGAAATGGCAGAAAATGCAGGCTTTTTCTCTGTCTTTTTTTAAAGAAAGAAATAGAAACAGTACTTAATAACTTTTCCCCAAACTTACAAAAGGTTGCAGAAAACAACAGTCTACAGGGATGCTCCATCTTCTACATACATGAAATATTTCCCGTGCTGCTGCTGCAGAACTAGAAGAAGCTTTTGCCAGGCACTCTTTGAATCGTGCATTTGCTCTTCACAAGAAAACAGTCACAATCTGGGACAGATACAGAGCATGAGATGTCATCCTGCTGTCCCTTTCTGAAAGGTGTGGGAAGCCAAAAGCCTTGGAGTGGGTCTGTCTTTCCCTGTTCCCGCTGTCATTATAAAATCAATCTCAAAGATGAAATCCATACAGACCTCTTCTTACCCCTTCTATAATTTTAACCATTAAGAGGAAAGGGCAAAAATCATCATCTCATGTTTCCCTTGACCCAGCAGAGCAAAGCCACAGTGGGGACTCTATGTAAGACATGACCCTGGGGAAAAAAGGAACATGAGATCTCAGCATGGGGGTTGGAGGCAAGAAGTCAAATGTATCGAAAATGACAGCACCACCTCAGTTAATGCCATGTGATAAGGGAGTCCTGCTGGGTTTTATGTCCTTCTGCAGAGACATACTTGAAGGTTGACACCAACTGGCAAGGAAGCTTTCTCCCTAAATCCAGAAATGAGTTGCAGGTTTTTTGGCTGGACAGATCACGATGAATTATCTCTCCTCAGGACAATCATCAGGAGCTACACTGGGGGTAACTGAACTGCTCAACAAGATGGACAAATCTACACATCTTAAAACAAGACAGGCAGGTTCGTGTAGAATGCGATCTCGCATACTTCAGCTTTGCTTTTATTTCTCTTGTGTGGGCCATTCTCGGGTCCTCTTCTCAAAACACAGTACTCTTTATGCCACTGGGGAGTAAGGGGTACTAATAAGAAAACTAAAGATATTCTAAAGAGCAAACATCTTTAATAATACTAAATCTAAAACATTGCCTCCAATTAAAAGGTCAGGGAAAGAATTTCTCAGACCAAGGCAAAAACACAGGTTATGCAGAAAGTCATCCCACAGACAACTTTCCTTTCTCCCTTGAATACTAATGAGCAAGGATGAATTTGCTCGATATGAACACCAGCACATCACAAACAAGCTCTCACTTAGCTTCTGCAGCCTGCTGGGACACGCTGCAATCAGGAGCTTCCTGAGCTCTGGTCTTAGTACACAGGCTGCCAGGATGCCTTGCAGAAAAGAGAATACAAACATACCTGCTCAAGTTGAGTCAGATGGAACTGTTTCATTTGATTTTATATAGATCAGATGATCCCTTCTGCTCTATTAAAAATCTAGTCTGCCAATCTGCTAAGACAAAGTCTTATAATCCCCAGTTTTTAAAAGCTTTTGCATGTACAGACAGCCACCATAACTCCTCCCATTACCAATTTTGCCAATTTAAAGAAACTAAGCATTCTAATCCCTCCCTATATTTTTCTCTCTTGGTCACGTGGGCATAAAATCTTGGCAGTTTCTCCAGTTCCAGTCCATTTTTGAAAAAGGCATATCTAGTCCTTACTCATAGCAGCTGAGTTATCTTTAGTGAGAACCACTTTCATATCACTGTAAGAGGTACTGGGGGACTTTGTCAGGAATGCTATGCTCATACTGTACACAGCATTTCACATTGCTTCTCCTCAGTGCCTTTGGAAATGGCGTGAGCCAAAAGCTGCACCTGCCTTTTCCAGAGTCACATAGCACCGGTAGCTCAGCCATCTCAGGCACAAGCTGCAACAACCCAGCCATGTTCCTGCTCATTATTCATACAGAGAGAGCCCCAGCTCACAAGAGAAATACTTACTGGTAGCAATAAGGGCACAAAGTAGTACTGAATTTCAAGTTCTGAAGACCATCCAATTCACCTGCATTGTCTCTGGCTTAAACTGTCTTAGTTTAAGCACTCATCAGCACTCACGGCCAAATGATGCCCAGGAGAGATTCCCCTTTGCTCTACACGTATGCAATTGCCCCCTGACTGCATAGCAGCCACTCATCAACTATTTCTGGCACCTATGGCCCAGATTGATTCATGAAGCTGTAGTGCAGCAGATTACAAAGACACCAGAGAGGCAAATCTAAGCAATGGAATATGGACAAACTAGAGCAGGGAGACCCTGGAACATCCAGAGCTTTCCATAGTTACATAGGCAAAGAGCTAAATTCATACAATTCAACATAAGTCTTCTGGGAATGCCAGGAATTCAACACTTAGCCTTGAAGGGAATCTTGTGAGCAAATGCCCTTATTGGCAAGTCAATACAGGATATAAAATTACCAAAGGTTTCTCAGAGCTCCTCCTGTGCAAAAGTTTTTCAATGGAGAACAGAACTGAGTGGAAAGTAGAGATCTCATGCTGCTGAACATTATTAAAATCACACTTCTCTAACATTGTGGGTTTATTTCAGTGCTCTCTTGTTACAAACAAACAAACAAAAATCCCACTCATTTTAAATTCAGAAACCACATGGACCACTCTGCAGGACACTAAGCTCAAAACTCACTAAGTTCAAAAGACTATGCTACAGTCTCATCCTTGCCAAGGGACAAAGCATGAGTTTATGCGCTGTTTCTGCCTCTACTTTCATACATGCAGGTCAGACACTCAAGCACCTTTTGCTTTGGGGTTTTTTTTAAGACATATCACAGCTTAACACTGTTTTCTTTAATTCTATCATTAGTGTATGATTTGGATGTACAGAGCCATTCTGCCTAGAACTTCTCAGCAATCCTGGCATTTTTAAAACACAGAAGATAAAGGAGTGTAGCTAGATATTGTACCAACCTTTCAGAAAGGGAAGGCTGGGCTCTCCTTTCAGCTGGAGGGATGTGGTTCAGGCTCCAGGGAAGTCCTCCCATGAATTCAAGCTGTAACATCTACAGCCTACTTCTTACAGACTCCTGGGATGTTTGCCTTTTCCATGTAAAGGCATTCTGTATATGGATAGGAGTGAAGCCAGTGCAAAACTGGTGTGGTGTTTTTATGTTCAGCTGGGTACCTCGATTTTTACAGCTCCTCAATGATTAAAAGATAGACAAAGTGATAAAATGAGTCAACAAAGAAAATTATGCTCTCAAGTGTCAAATTTTTTCCTTTTTGATAGAAGACCTTTCCTTGCAGGTCTAGAGACTTCACTAAAGCACAAGATGCTTTTAAACAAGAAAGAACAACAGATTAAGTGCATTTGAATGGATGGTGACTCTTGTTCTAACAGTCATCAGCTGAAGGCTAAGGGCAAAGGGACAAAATGCAGAAGACTGTAAAGAGAGACAAGCAAAAGCAAGACATTGTGAAGAAAGACATTATTTAAAAATTCCTGTCAAAGCCAGACAATTTGCACTAGTGAATATATCAATAACTGATCCAAAGACCCTTAAGAAGAGGAAGTTTGGCTTTGCTGATCACTCAGCAAGGCAAACATCGCAGCACTAAGCACAGTGCAGATCTGCCCTTTTGGGTTTGTTCCATGATGACAGTTGCAGCCTACTGTAGGGAACCAGCTTTAGCAGGAGAGTTGGACTTGATGATTCCCAGATGTTCCTTCCAGCTGCAACAATTCTCTGTTATCATGCATTTTCAGATATACTTTGTATTTTCCTTACCACTCAAAATGTGCAAGTGCTGCTCAGTGAAACACCGATTTAGTCCCCAGCTTCAAAATTTGGAGTGTCAGAGCTGCTACAGCATCTTCAACTAGCAGTGCATCTATTCACTGAAGCCCTGTTCACATTTAGTCCTAAAAAATGTAACAGTTCAGGAGCACAAGTTGTTTTTCAAATATTAAAACATGACCTTAAATACCTTCTGTAGGAGGAAGGATGAATCCTTAACATTCAGACCACGTGGTTGCTCACAACTTGTATGTGTTCTTTCACATAGTATAAATTCTTCTCAACTGTATCTGAGCTAATGGATAAAATAGTGCAGGGAGAGCTTCCATTGCCCAGCAGCCCAGCTCTGCTTGGGTGTCATCAAGGAATGACGTGAATCAGAAAGATGTCTGGCACTCAGTCTTTGTCTCCAGACATTTCCTAGTGGTCCTGCAGAATAACAGTTCAGTTTGCTATGAAGAGAAAACATACAGGAAAAGAAGGCACAGAGTTGGGAATAATTGTGCTGGATACAACAGAGGCCTCTCAAGAAGTTTACAGAAGATCATAATACAGACACTCTGCCCTTTCCAGAGACAACAAGCATGATGTGTCTTACACTTATATGTGAGATAATTATGTGAAAATATAGAATCATAGAATTGCTCAGGTTGGAAAAAACGTTAAAGATCATAGAGTCCAACCACAACCTTACCATACTATCCTAACTCTAACAACTCCGTTAAGTCATGTCCCTGAGCACCACATCCAGATGCTTCTTAAACACATCCAGGGATGGTGACTTAACCACTTCCCCGGGGAGCCCATTCCAGTGCTTCACAACCCTTTCTGTACAGAAGTTTTTCCTGACATCCAACCTAAACTTACCCTGGCGCAACTTGAGGCCATTTCCCCTCGTCCTGTCACCAGTGAGAAGAAACCAACCCTGCTCTCACTGTAAGCACCTCTCAGATATTGGAAGAGAGCAATAAGGTCTCCCCTCAGCCTCCTTTTCCCCAGACTGAACAGCACCAGTTCCTTCAGTCTCTCCTCATGGGCCATATTCTCCGAGCCCTTCAGAAGCCTTATTGCCCTTCTTTGGACCTGCTCCAGCACCTCCATGTCCTTTCTGTTCTGAGGTGCCCAAAACTGAACACAGTACTCGAGGAGACCTCACCCGTGCCGAGTACAGGGGCAGGATGACTTTTGCCCAGTCCTGCTCACCACACCATTCCTGACACAAGCCAGGATGCCATTGGCCTATAGTTTGTATTGATTAGAATCTTCTAGGAAAACAAACAAACAAAGCACTAAGAGTATCAGTTTAATTAAAAATCTGCCCAGCTGCAATAACTTAATGGCTAACAACTGCTGAGAAACTAACGCAACGCCTAAAAGCGAGGTTCTAAATGCTACCAGTTGGTAAAACTGCCGCGGATTGGAGATGCCCTCAGTTCAGGTCGGGGACGCAGCACCTCGCGTGCCTGCACGCTCCTCCCAGGCAGCGAAGATCTAAACGCGTCGGACGGCGACATGAGGACGCCGGGAGGGGGCCGGGCTGATCATGCGGCTGCAGCTGCAGCGGAGCCGCCGCGCCCCCTGCAGACCCGGCAGCGCCACGGCGGGGAGCGCGGCCCCCCATCCCGAGGCAGCGAGCGGGAGCGGCTGCCTGCAACAGCCGCCCTCCCGGCTGCCGCTCTGCCCCAGAGAACCTGCGGTAGGTGACTGCGTCACCCTCGCTTCCGCTGTGTTAAAGAAAAAAATCCAAGAAAAGCTATGCAAAATCTGAATTTGATCTAAAACTCATGGATGAGTAAGAAAGAAGCCAAGCCATGCGTTTGTCCGTGGTTTACCCCGAGGAAGCTGTGCTGAAAGGCATCCCCTGGTTGTCCATCAGCCGCCTTTTCCACCTCGTTGTACAGCTGCCGTGACCGAGGTCAAGTGATATGTCAGTCTGTCAGATCACACAGGGAGGCAGTGGCTCTTCTCGGATTAGGACAATTCCACACGGCCCTCTGAAAAAGATTTGTAACAAATGTCAGCCCCAACTGTCTGCTGCTCAAAGCATATGTTTAAAGCTCTTAGACATCTCAGTCAAAAGGTATTGTAAATATAGGGACAAAGCTAGGAAACGCCTCGTTGTGGAGTTTCAATAATGGCAAACCAGGATCTGGCATGAAAAACCCACACCCCAAACAGGTTTCCTTTAGCGGGGGATCCCTGCCCAGTTTTGCAGCTATTCTGAGACAGCAAAGTATTTCACTTTTTTCCTCCAGCCAAAGGGGCTGAGAGGCACTGGCTGAGCACAAGCTGGTGAGCTCAAAGGGCAGAGGGCACAAAATAACCTGCCCACAACTTTCTGGCTTGCCAGCATCCTCCTGCCATTGCTTTCAGTGCCTTTTTGTAGTGAAAAGGAAGTGTGCTCAAAATGGTTGTTTTGCTGTCCACTACGTCCAACTCCTTATGCCTGGAATGCTCTATAAAAAACATGGTCGTGAAGTAGCCTAAGAACCTATTGTTTAAGATGGGGAAAATTGAGGGTAAAAAGGAAAAAAAAAAAACAAAACCAAACACAACTTCAGACTGGGCTTGTTGATAAATACTTAACAAAAACACCAAAAGCTGCCAAATCTCACAGAGAATTCAGCCACCACAGCATCACCAGCAAAATACTATTGCACTGAAATACAACCACATCACTGGGCACTTTTCCTCTCTGCACAATCCAACCTTCTAGCTATGCAGAAGGATATGGCTCCTCTCTTAGCTCACCTCAGCTTCACGCTCATCCTTTTGAACTCATGACAACCTGGCAACATAAAGGAGCCAATGGCAGCTATCAAAGTGCTGCCAGAGGTGGAGGGATAGCAGAGGAGCAGCCCAGAAGAGAAGTCCCAGAGCAGCATTTGGGTTTCCTGGGAATTACGTTCTGGATTTTTCTTCTCCTTCTGGTCTGCAAAACCCGTTCCCCTCAAATGAGCATTATGTGATTTTCTTTGCCAAGGTTTTGCACTGCTTCATGAGCCACATGACACAGGAACAAGCTTTCCCCTTGGTTCTTCCGTAAACTACGCAGAGAAACTTCAAGTGATAAAGTATTTAAACTACAGGTCTTCTCACACATTCCAGTTTAGTAAGCGGGATTTCCTGCTAAAAAGAAACCCAGGGCTGTGCCATCACTGTTTCCTGATGCTACTCCATCAACATCTTCCTTTAAGGCACCATTTCTCTCATGCTGCCTTTGGATTTTGCCATTCCTTCTTTGCATAATGCTTTACTTCATAAATGATACCAAACAGTGCCAAAAATGGCAGAATTATACCCAAGATATTAATATAATGGCAATAAACGTCCCAATGAATCACATAAAGCTTGCAAATAAAGGACTAATTGTGAGTATGACAGCACATCTGGCAGTTGTTTTAAACAACTGAGAGTGTTGACAAAAAGTCTCTTTCTCTTCACACATTCAGTTTATATAGCAGAAGATGAATTTGTAATGTGCCTTGAAAATCCCTAATGAATGAATCCCCATCGAATGAATGCCGTATTGCCTGCTAACATCTGGGGCTGATTTGGGAAACATCTTGTTACGCAAAACCTGGTCCAGGACCTTGCCTGCAAAAGCTGAACACCACAACTTCTGCAAAGCTATTTGGTTGCACAAGTCATTACTGGGTAATGCATTTAATACAGGTGACGTACTTTATACAAAGGAAGTACTGCATGGAAATTAAACCTGGCACAAAGGCCAATGATTACAGAAGGAATCTGATACCACTTCCTGCCCAGATCAATTTCTGTTTAATTTGAAGGAAAGATTTTCCTTGGCTTCTGGGAAATGTAGGCCTTAATCCAGCAGCAAAATTACAGTGGTGACTGTTTTACGCATAGACTTGCAGTTACTATACCTATT